TCCGCAGAACTCACTTCGAATGACAGCCACTGCTAGTGGATATCTCAAATGTCGCACAACCCAGATGCGCCCCGGCGGAGCATCGTTACATCTCTTTCGACCGGTAGTCCAATAAGACTCGGGGATCTTGTTGATGGCCTATGCAAGGCCGAGCTCGCGAACCGTGTAGTATGCTCTCCGTTGCCTTGGCCAGACTAAGAGAGAGCCGCCACTGTCATGGTACCCAGCCGTCCCATTCTCCTACCATACCATACACCACGCGCGCGTGAAGGGAAGTTATTCTGCTCCATGGTCCATCTGAACAATAGCTACCATCTCCCTGCCCCCCCCCCCAAACCCCAGCGAATCCACTTTCAAAGGTTTGGACTTTCCCCATGGGTCGCCCCATTGTGGATCTATCTCTGGATGTTCGTACGCTGTGGTCCAGTCCCATTGACATAAGAGGAGAGAGAGGGGAACAAAGCCGGTCTACCTAGTTCGCGTTGACAGACGCCTTGGAGCTGCCGTTCTTGCCTTGCGGGGGAAGGTGGTGGCGCCAGTCTGGTCTCCGTGAACCTTGTGCAGAGGTTGGGATGAGATGTTGTCTGTGGGCGAGATACAAATACCAGGCAACGCCCATCCCATGCTCTCTCTGTTTCCCCTCTTCTCGTCCGAGCCCTGTCTTTGGTGTTGGACGATCACTCTCGGATTCAAGGCGCATTCCTTTGTAGAGACTTGACTGTCATCTCGCGGTAGACCAAGAGCATAGAGCTCGAAGCATCAACAAATACACTTCACCCAAGAGGCTATTGAGCATTGAGTCGTTCATATCACTCAACGCGCCGCAACAATGGCGGACGACAAACACCTAGACGGAGCCGCGGTGTAAGCATTACTCACTCACGATAAATTTTCAGACTCGGACTACAACTAATACTCTTAGTTCGGGCGACTTTTCAAACATGGAAAAAGCTCGCCGCGGATCCCAAGCAACAGTAGACCTAAACGACAACGTTGACGCAAAGTTCGTCCTTCTCGTCTCAAATCAACTTTCCCTTGAGCGTAAACTAATACCATCCAACAGAATCAGGAACCCCCTCCTCGGCATCACCCGCGCCGAGCTCCTCCGCGACGTCGAAGCCTTTGCCCACGACAAGGGCCTGCAAGAGTACATTCCCGTCTTGAAAAAGGGCGCACTCGTCGCCCAGGACCCGACGGGCTACGAGGAGATTGACGGCCCGGAGGCCCTCGACGCCACCGAGATCCAGGTCCTCCGCGACGAGATCGAGCACAAGTGGCGCATCCCGAAGATCCTGTACCTCACCATCATCACCTGCTCCATCGGCGCCGCCGTTCAGGGGTGGGATCAGACGGGTAGCAACGGCGCGAATCTGTCGTTTCCTACGGTGTTTGGGATCGGGGGTACTTCGCATCACGATACTCTGCTCGTACGTCTCACTCACTCACTCACTTACAGGCCACGTTCTTGGTATCATCACACGCTAACACGACACAAGGTCGGCCTCGTCAACGCGGCGCCTTATATCGGAAGCGCCCTCATCGGCTGCTGGCTCTCAGACCCGCTCAACAACTTCTTTGGCCGCCGCGGCGCCATCTTCTTCGCCGCCAACTTTTGCCTCTGGCCTGTCATCGGGAGCGCCTTCTCCCAGACCTGGCCGCAGCTGCTCGGCTGCCGTATCCTCCTCGGCATCGGCATGGGAGCGAAAGCCAGCACGGTGCCCATCTTTGCCGCCGAGAACTCGCCTGCGCCGATTCGCGGCGCTCTTGTCATGACATGGCGTGAGTAAATCCTCTCGTTGTGTTTGATACAAGTACCATGACCTGCTGTGTACTGACTACGATGTCAACAGAACTGTGGACAGCCTTCGGCATCGCAGCCGGAACGGCAGCCAATCTCGCCGTCGCCAAAACCGGCGCCATCGCCTGGCGTCTCCAGCTCGGGTCCGCCTTCATCCCGGCCTTGCCGCTCGTGCTGCTCATCTACATCTGCCCAGAGTCCCCGCGCTGGTACATCAAGAAGAATCGATTTCCCGATGCCATGAAGTCGCTGCTGCGCCTGCGCAACCACCCGATCCAGGCCGCGCGCGACATCTACTACATCCACACTCAGCTCCAGGTCGAGGCCGAGATTGTCGGGCGGTCCAACTACGCGAAGCGCTTTGTCGAGTTGTTTACCATCCCGCGTATTAGACGGTGAGTGCATGCCATGATACCTAAGATGGGATGTGGTAAACTTGAGAGATGAATGTCGAGACTGATGAGTGATTCACATAGCGCGACACTGGCTTCCTTCACCGTCATGATTGCCCAGCAAATGTGTGGTAAGTCGTAACCCCGTTTTTGAATATCTCTGGATCATTACTCACCAGTGACAGGAATCAACATCATTGCATTCTACTCAAGCACAATCTTCAAGGAGGCCGGCACATCAGAGTACAACGCTCTCCTCGCCTCCTTCGGCTTCGGCATGGTCAACTTCCTCTTCGCCTGGCCCGCCATCTGGACCATCGACACCTTTGGCCGCCGCTCCCTCCTGCTCTTCACCTTCCCCCAGATGGCGTGGACGCTGCTCGCCGCGGGCCTCTGCACGCTCATCCCGGGCACCGGAGGCGCTCACCTGGGTCTCGTGGCGTTGTTCGTCTACCTCTTTGCCGGTATGTCTTTCTCTCCTTCTGCATGCACACTTATAATATCGAGAAGAAGACACTAACAAAATCACAGCATTCTACTCACCCGGCGAAGGCCCCGTCCCCTTCACCTACTCCGCCGAAGTCTTCCCCCTCTCCCACCGCGAGGTAGGAATGTCCTGGGCCGTAGCAACCTGCCTCTTCTGGGCCGCCGTCCTCTCCATCAGCTTCCCCATCATGCTCGCCGACCTCGGCGTCGTAGGCTCCTTCAGCTTCTACGCGGGTCTCAACGTCGTCGCCCTCGTCATGATCTTCTTCTGGCTGCCCGAGACCAAACAGCGCACCCTCGAGGAGCTAGACTACGTCTTCGCCGTCCCCACCCGTGTCTTCATGCGCTACCAGCTCACGAAAGCCCTGCCCTACTGGTTTAAGCGCTGGGTTCTCTTCCAGAGGGACGCCACGCTGGAGCCGCTGTACAAGTTTGACCTCACGCACGAGGACCACCACGGTAGCGAGACGTACGAGAAGACGCAGGTCGAGCAGCGGGATCAGAAGAGGAGTGGTTCGGCTACCGGCGTAGACGTCACTGCCTCGTAAATGGATTGGGGGCGCACGAGCCGAGGTACGGGATAGAAACTGTGGACAAAAGACTTCAACGCGGTGGGGAGTGGTCTTGTTGCACTGACTGGCCTGGGAGCGCCGTTGGACCCGTGGAACGTTGAGAGAATGGGGGGCTTTGATACCAAACGAGGCTGAGCTAAAAGGGAGGGAGTTTGCGGCGTGTAATACACACGCGCGCCTACGTAATCAGCGTCGTCGAGTTTACTTCGTTTACTCGGAGAATTGTTTGTAGACGAGGGAAGGCGAGGGGAGGGGCGGCTCTGAATGGGTAGCCCGCCCACAATCCGTAATCGAAACGCATCACGAAAGCACCGGAACACATCCCGATGATGCCACTTTGCGTGCGCCGCCTCCCTTCTCAGCGACGTAGCATAGTCTGTAGAGAATGACTGCCGAATGTGTAAAAAGCCCCTCCAATTTTCACGATTCATGACAGACAAACATTCTTTCCCACGGAAGACTTTTCAACCACCCTGCCACATCTCCCGCCACCAGGTCGGCCCGCTTGACACGCAGAAAGGCTGGAGGGGCGTGGCTGAGAGGCACAAAAAAATGTCTCTCGACGAATCTGGCTCAGGGGCGGCAAGGCGGTAAGAACATTTTCAGGTCTCAGTGATCTTCTCAGACGGCGCGAGAGACGGCGGCTTTTCTAAATGGGTCCTCGGATCCCCCTGGTAGCGGGGGCCGCGTTCAATTGACGTATGCACCCCGACTCCCCGAGTTCTTTTCACGGGACGACGAAACCAAGTGCGGAAGAACGCGTGGGAAGAAAAGTCTCTTGGGAGACACTGAGAGCGCGCTCTCTCAGCCCTTGGCACGAGGGCAACGGCAGCTAGGCGTGCTAAGCCAGCCCAGGGCTCGTGAAGACTTTCCCGAACTGCCCGCCACGAACAGTGATCCGAATCGAGATTCTTCTCCCGCCGCTCTCGTGTTGAGTCTAGCGTCAAACCTAACAATGCAGACTGAGGCGATCGATTATGAAAGATTTTCGCAACACGGGCTGTAGATCCGATCCAACCTCCGACACGCAGATTCAAGTCGTCGAAAATGTGAGACGTGGCACCGCGTGTGCTACAGGAATTCAGAAAGGGGATAGGTGAACCGCAAGAGGCATATTACAGTCATGGAAATCACATGAAACACATACTTGAAGAGTAAAAAGAAAGAATGCGCAAACAGGCCATTTCGTCTCGTGTGGAATAGAGTTCCTCGTCCGTGGACCGTGCCTCTTGAGTCTTGCCTGAGAAACGTGAGAAGAGATCGTGTTACACCGCCGCAACCTCGGAATCTCTAGCGCTTGCTTTTTCAGGTACCCGCGTTTTCGAGGGTCTGAGGTGTGTGATGTGTCTCTGACGATCAGCTCGGGCTGAAAACCGTTCTTGGGATAACAAGAGGAACCGTGAGGGAGTCGGTTGTGTCATTGGTCGCCACTGGCGCGAATCGTAATGAAGCCACCGTCGGACTAGGCTGGCGCCGTTGAGAACGCCGGCTACTGGGCTGCCGCGAGCCGCGGACGGGGCGGCTGGTTGGTTGGGTTTCCAAGAGGGCTAGTGAAGAAGAGCTGGCGACAGGGAGGGCGACTGACAGGCCACCGAGTGGGCGCAACCCGTACACGGTAGATGAGTGGCCGACCATGTGGCCGTTGATATTGCTAGAAAAAACCTTGAAGCTCGCCTGCGACCTGTGGTGAGTATCAGAAACAGAGCGGAAATTGAATTGACTTCGTGATCAATGGGTGCAGGATTGAGCGGCCTGTCGAAGCAGGGGCCCATGGGCAGGTCTGGACCGTCCAGACTCGAAGAGACTTGAACGCGCGGTGCAAGCCAGCTTCTGTCACAGCTTGTCTCTCTCTTGTCCTTGTAGGGCTCCGCTAGGACGCAGGGGGCGGGGATGGGGGGAGGAGAGCTGGGAGACTGGAGACTGGCACTGGAAAAGGAGGAGACTGGAGACAAGATGCGGCGGACAACGGGTGGGCGGGTGGCATTTTCGTGCTAGTGAAATTGTATGCGGGTAGAAACGAAACAGAGACGACGGCGGCGGCTTGTGGGAAGGCTGAAAAAAGGACGGAAGTGGTCTGGTGTTTTGGTGTGATTCTGTAACTATGAACGGCATTGATTGCCTGGTGTAACGGGCTGGTCCGGCGGAGGTTTGCCATTGTCTTTTGGGCCCTTGGGGAATCTAAGAATCTTGGAGGGTTGCAATATGGGAAGGGGGCCCATGCCAAGAAGGGTGACTCTCCAGATGGGGGTGGAAGGGACGTGAGGGAGACGACACCCACAGTCCATCGAGGGGTTTCGGTTCCAAGAGGTTGGACGATGGGCAGAGAGCTAAAGATGGATCGATTGATGGATGAGTGGATTTGCTAGTCTTCAAGCGGCGGATGGATGATGCTTCCAGCAACTGTCAAACGCAAACATGTGCCGGCGCGGACGGTGGGGGATGACTTGGATGGATGGGTAGGTGATGGAAGGGTGATGCCTCTCTCGATGCCGAAGGAGAAAAAAAAACAAACTCCACGCTCGTATTCCACCAAAGACGGTGGTGGGTGGAGACCAATAAGTTAATTGGGGAGATTTCTCTTGAGTGTTATTCCTGGATCGCGATACGGCAGTGGCAGTGGCAGTGGCAGTGACATTGTTAAGTGGCCACTGGCGCAAGACCGCAAGCTGGCGCCGGCGGCGGGCGGCTGACCGGCCAGATCTGCGGAATTTACAGAATGCTGACAGAACGTGGAAGGTGAGCCGCAAAAGCGACCTGGCGCACCTGGGAAATATTCCCAAAAACGCAAAGGGTCAACAGTGATCCACGCAAGGAGATGTAAAAGGTTAAGCTTCTAACACTCCACCAATGTGGGAACATGATGGAGCGATAGTCGGCCATCTCTCGCAAATCGAGCAGCTCAACACCAGGCGACTCGTCAGCCGGATGGACCTGACCCAATTGACACTACCTTACCTCGCTGTGTATGTAGTATACTTCATACTTCGTACAGATCTTGCCATTGGACGCGTGACCCGGGCGGCTTCCCTGATTACTCCGTGGGAACACTGCGACTCCAAGTCTCCAACAGCCAGGGCAAGGCCGCAAGATGGCCAATAATGGAAGAGCCAGCAGATGAGATGGAAGGCGCAGACCACCTTGACCCCAAAGAGCAACGATGGGAACTGCTTGGGAGAATGGAACCCGAGGACCCCAGAATGAATTGGGAGGGACCCTTCCTCTTCGCGGTGCTCCCACTTGGCACTACCAGTTCCCACCAAGGTCGACCCTTTCCCACGCAACACTGGCTCAGCCCACCCCAAATGACTCCAAAACAGTCACCAGGGCCTTCAGACTGCCGGTACTGACGCTGCCCTAGAAGAATATGTGACGATAGTAAGGAACAAGAAACCGAATGAAGGGTGCTTGCATGGCAACATGGGGTTACTACTTACACCATTGTAATATCACCAAAATGTGCAATCTCACTCTCATGCAGCAAAACATGCAACTACACCGAAGCACCAAGTTCAACAACCAATCGAGTGGCGACGAAGGAACATCAAGCTTCACTCACTCGTAAGCGGTTCTGCGGCACGTCTGATGTGCGGCACTCGGACAATCAACTCGAGGAACCTTGAACTGCACTAAGGAACTCTCAGTGCAACCTTTTGATAGCACACACATCCTCACAATCACATACACAGCAGATACTAAACGACTACGAGAATACAGTTGTGTGTACTATGTGAGCAAGCTCTGTGCGAGTGTCAATACTTCGGATATGTCATGATATGCATCCCAGACGGAAAGGAGCAATACCGACGCGTCCCTCGACCTTGCCGGGCAGTTTCTTCCTGCAGGCTGCAAAGCACGTACATTCACGGTTTATAACCAACGCCCACAACAATAACATTCATATGTCGTAATGTCCCTGTAACTTGCAAGTACCGCGTCCCAGTGACCCAATCGCACGGCATTCCATAGCGGAAGTAAAATAGATGCGCAACACAGTACATAGAAAAACCAAGAAGTCCACCGGCGAGCACGGCATCATCAAGGCCCACCTGAGAAGAGGCACCTCCACCCAGCTGAGGTACGTATCTCTGCGTACCCTGCTGCAGTCTATCAGGTACGTACGGGGGTACCTACAGAAGTAGGTGGATATCACAGACCATCCACCAACCAAGAATCGGGAACCGCCAGTCCTGGGTACCGGCCAATCCCAGCAATCGACCCGAAAACTTCTGAAACTCGCCTGTCAGTGGCTTGTCCCCTGCATCAAAGCTGCCAGCCCGTCCTGCAGCAGAAAGCCTGCCACTTGTAGAATTCTGGCCCGTTTTCTGCTTGATTTGGCTGTCCACTGTCCAGGAATTCAGAGTACGTACTCAAGGTACTCTGCCAGAGATTGACCCAGAACCAGAATGCCAGAAGGGAAAAAAAGAAAAAAAGAAAAAAAACTTAGATGCACCAGAAGGGGGGTGCCCCGGCTTAGCACAGGAAGGAAGAGGAAAACCGTTCAGGGGTCCCGCCAAGATGCACGCTCCAAGACAGCCGTCCCTCCCACTAACGCGCCTAGCGGCGGCGGCCCCCTTTCGTCCTGTCTTTGCGGCTTTCCGCTTGCCCTGCCACTAGGTGCCTTGCTTGGTGCTTGCCGTGTCGCCTTGCACTCTGATGATCGTCAACCTGCTAACCGCACCTTACCATCCCACGTCTCCATCCTGTTTCCCTAACTAGAACAGAACCTTGCCGTCATTCTCTCTGCCATTTTTGGCTCGTCTTTCGCTTAAACCCTGAGCTTCTTCCCCTCCTCGTCTTCTTTTTCATCTAGACTCCCGCTCGTTTCCACCGCTCGCTTTCCTCTCGCTCGCTCTCTCTCTTCTCCTCCCCGCCCTCTCTTCCCTACCTGTCCTATCCCGTCCTACCCTCCTCCTCTAAAGATACCCTTTTCCTTGTAATTACCTTCGCTTTTGGGAATTGGGTTGTCGTCACACACGAGGATAACACAGAACATACACGCGCGCTCACCTCTTGTAGAACCAGACCCAGTCGTTACTCTTGGTTCTCAACCTTTTCCCATTTTCCTCTCGAGCCTCACACGACATACACCTCGATTGGTTTCTTACAAGAGCTGGATTCGACATCCGCTCCCTCTGCGCATTAATAGACTGCAACTATACAGCAAGTGGTCTGTACAACAATCACCAATTACCGTTTTACACCAACATTCCTCCTCCCCCTCCCTCGACTAGATACGACACACCGTAAGAGCTCCCTCGCTATTTCGGCATGCCGGGACCTCTCTCGCCGCGGCACTCGGGATTTCTGCCTATAAACAACACACAGTCGAACGACATGCCTGACGGCGATATTCCCCTGACCCAGGTCAGGAGCGCTGCCTCTACTGGCGCAAGGAAGCCCACGATGAACGCTTCCAACGAGGACTCTGGCTCCTCTGGCACAAACGAGAAGCATGGCCTTTTCCACCGCCCCAATGCCAAGGGCGGACGCCGCAAGAAGAAGGCAGAGCTTGGTCGCCACGGAACTGCTGGCTCGGACGAGGTCAAGATGAACGCCATGGGTCGCTTCTACACCAAGATCACCAGCGCGTCTGTCGTCACTCGCTACCTGGTCTACATCATCCCTATCGGCCTTCTTCTCGCGATACCACTCATTGTTCTTCCCATCACGGGCCACAAAGACGATGTCATGATTGGCAACAACAAAGAGAAATCGCTATTTTTCCTCTTTTTATGGATTGAGATCGCCTGGTTGACCCTCTGGGCCGGCAAGGTTGTCGCCTGGCTCATGCCTCACGCCTTCATGTTCTTCTGCGGAGTGGTCAGTTCCGGTACGCGCAAGTACGCTACTGTCCTCCAGAACTTGCAGATTGCCCTTTCACTCTTCTTCTGGGCCCTGGCATCATGGCAGTCATTCCAGGCCCTCTTCAAGTCCGACAACGACCAATCTTCCTGGATCACCACCATGATTCGTCTTCTTGGTGCCACATTTGTGTCTTCAGCTGTGTACCTTGGCGAGAAGGCCATCGTTCAGCTGATCGGTATCTCTTACCACCAGAGATCATTCGCCCTCCGCATCAAGGAGTCCAAGCGCGAAGTTCGCTTGCTCGGTCTCCTCTACGACGCTTCCCGCACCCTTTTCCCTATGTACTGTCCCGAGTTCGAGGACGAGGACTATGTCATCAACGATAGTCTCGATTTGATCTTAGCCAAGGCTGCGAAGGGTGGCAAGGGCGGTAATGGTAGCGCTACGCCCCTCCGCCTCGTCGGCGACATTGGCCGTGTAGGAGACAAGATCACCGGTGTCTTCGGTAACATTGCCTCGGAAATCACTGGAAAGCAGGTTTTCAACCCCAACTCGGCCCACTCCATTGTTATTGAAGCCCTCGAGAAGCACAAGCCTTCTGAGGCTCTCGCCCGCCGTATCTGGATGTCTTTCGTGGTCGAAGGAAAGGACTCGCTTTACCCCGAAGACTTCCTGGAAGTGCTTGGACCCGCTTACTCTGAGGAGGCCGACGAGGCTTTCGGTATGATCGATAACGACATGAACGGCGACATCAGCTTGGAAGAGATGACTCGCAAGGTTGTCGAGATTGGCAAGGAACGCAAGGCTATTACCGAGGGAATGAAGGACATTGGTCAGGCACTCCGCGTGTTTGATAAGGTTCTCATGTTCGTTGTCGTCTTGATCGTCGTCTTCATCTTCCTCGCGTGGTTCCAGTCCAGCTTCTTGACCGTAAGCTTTCCCCCTCTTTTACTCTTCCGTGAACGCCGCTGACCAATCTAGACCGTTGCCACTGCTGGTACTGCGCTTCTTTCCTTGTCCTTCGTCTTCGCCGTCACCACCCAAGAATTCCTGGGTTCCTGCATCTTCCTTTTCGTCAAGCACCCCTACGATGTTGGTGACAGAGTTGACATCGTCGGTTCCGAGAAGCAGCAACTCATTGTGGACAAGATTTCGCTTCTGTACACCGTCTTCACCCGTATCGACAAGATGCAGGTCGTCCAGGTCCCCAACATTGCACTCAACAACCTTTGGATCGAGAACGTCTCCCGTAGCAAGGCCATGAAGGAGGTCATCGACTTGAACGTCTCCTACGACACCAGCTTCGAGGACCTTGAGCTTCTCCGTGTTGAGATGGAGAACTTTGTTCGCAACTCCGACAACTCCCGCGACTTCATGCCCGATATCGCCATTGGCGTTGCCGGTGTCGGTGACTTGGACAAGCTTCAACTTAAAATCGCGATCAAGCACAAGTCCAACTGGCACAACGATGGCGTTCGCGCCACTCGCCGCTCCAAGTTCATGTGCGCCCTGGCCATGGCTCTGAAGAAGATCCCCGTTTATGCCCCAGGTGGTGGCAGCGAGGCCCTTGGTGCTCCTGGCAACCCATCTTACTCCGTCGCTGTTACCGACTCCTTTGCTGCGTCAGCCCGTGATAAGGCTGCCAAGGACAAGGAGGCCGCGCGTTTGGTGCCCTCCCCCGCCGCCGAGGGAACTGACGGCAACCCCGACTCTAACACTGAGAAGGCTGCCGCAGCTGAACTCAACCTGCGTGACCCGATGGCTGAGGAGGAATGGGGCTACCGTGTAGGCGATGATGAAACCCTGTCTTCCAAGGAAGATCGCCGCCGCTCCAACGACATCGATCGCGTCCGCAGTCAGCTGATGAAGCGCGCCAGCACCAAGGGCGGCGGCGGCCGTCGCAAGCCCGGCGAAGGCATTCCCATGTCCCCCGTCGGTGACGGACCCGGCCTCGGTCTGACCCAGACGACGTCTCGCAACCGCATTTACGACGAGGAGGCCGAGACCGGCGTCCAGGGATCCTACAACTCCCCTTACTACGGAGCCCAGTCAACGGGTTACTCCGGCGCCTACGGACAGTCTCTGTCTCCCACCATCTCACCTCCCCACAACACCAACCTCACCCCCCACCCACTTCAGAGCGCCCCGTCGGGCCAGCGTCCACGAGGACGCAGCGTATCCAACACTCAGCAGGAGGCTCAGCAGAGCACCTCAAAGAAGCAGTAAAGGGGGATGCTAAGGATCGCACGAAAAACATAACCAAGTAAAAGAATGAGAAGCAACAAAAAATTGGAGAAAGATTAATACCAGCCGGTCAATTGTCTGACACAAAAAGCCCGGGCGTTTTCTTTTACGTGGGCATTGAGACTGGCTCCCCATGCCTAATGAATTTCCTTACACAAACTTCACATGGGGGGAACAGATAGATTACGAATAGAGTATGATGACATGTCGTCCGCAGATAAATACCATTCCTCTTGAACAATGCTTGGTTTGCCTCTATTTACGTGACATGCTTCTTTGCTAGTCGTCAATACACGTTTAGTTTTCATACTTAGCAGACATGCTCAACTTCGCCAACGCCTTCCAACGGACCCAGATCCAACTTGAGCGTCCTCCCAAACAACTCTAGCAGAATCTCAAAGCAGACCTTTGTGATGGCCGGGTCATACCGTCCCTTACTAAGCTCATCGCGGATAAAGGCGTGCTGGGCCCACGCGAACTCGTAAAAGCTCGTCGTGACGCCGGCCTCGCGGAGCTTGGCGCGGATGAGGTCGCGGCCTTCCGCGGGGACGTGGGTGTCTTTTACGCCGAAAATCATGGCCACCTCTGCGTGGGTGAGGTTCGTGGCGAAGAGGTCTAGGGTGTGGGTGCTGTTTTCGGGGGCCGTGGGGGAGGAGTTTGCTGCGGTGTAGGGGCCTAGGGTGCGGGTGTGGATGTCTGTTGCGAAGTAGGCTACGCAGGAGGTGATTCGGGGGTCGAGCTGGTGGTTGGGTGGTTAGTTGGGGAGGATTGTGAGCTGGTTTTGGTGAAGAGGTGGGAGTTGAGGGGAGCGGGAGGTTGAGGAGGAGCGGAGTCAAAGGGGAATGGGAAGGGAAAAAAAAAGTGAGAAACGTACGGAGGCTCTGACGGCGAGGTGGCCGCCTAGACACATTCCCGTGCTGCCGATCTTGCCGGTGCAGGTCGGGAGGGAGAGGAGGTGGTCTACGGTGCGGCGGGAGTCTTCGTCGTAGGACTCGAGGGTCTTGATATCAGTGTTGAAGATGGTCAGCCAAAATATTCTCGAGTGAGGTCTACTTATGTAGAGATAAGAAGGCTAGTGAAGATGAGGGCCTACCTTTTCAACCTTCCAGGCGTTTCCCTTGTCGGTGCCAGGGACGTCGTAGGCCAGGGCCTCTGGGCCGGTGAAGTCGTGGTAGGACGAGGGCGCGGCGACGATGTAGCCCTGTCCGGCGATCTGGCGGGCGAAGCGGGCGACGGGGCCGGTTACTTTGAGCTTGTCAGTGTATGGCCACCACAAAACACATTCTCCATATCATTCAGAGTGAGCACGGTTTGGGTAAGGGTCCTGTAGGTATGGCTGAACACGCCAAAAACACTTGAAGACAAAAAGTGAAGTGAAGTTGATATCCTCGGTCAAGGTGCCGGTGAGCGCGGTGTAGCTCCCGGTGAGGGTGGGGTGGAGGGGTCGAGTACCCCAGTGCGGGGGGAGAGGGCAGCTTTTTTTGGGTAGACCCCGCCGCCATGGAGAAGAGGCATGATCTGACTGTACTGACCTTGGTAGATCTCGGAAAAGAGGCAGACACCGGGGAACTTGCTGCAGTGTATGTCAATTGGAATATTCAATCTGATTTCTGGAATGAGGAAGATATCTTACGCCTGGGGATAACCAGGAATGGAAGGGTGGAAGAGGAAGATTCCTGTTGCCATTGTTAGCTTTCGAGGAGCGATATCACAGGTTCGGTTGGCACGTACTCATGGAACCATCCTTGCCGTCGGCCTTGGTCGGCACGTCTACGTGAGACTCCTTGATGAGCATTTTGAAGAGTCTATGAGTATGGATGAATAGAGGAGGTCGGACGAAATGGTACTCGATTCAACACTGAGAGATGGAGGTTTGTTGTAGTTGAGTGATTTGCATCTCATTGGCTGATAGCTCTGGACCTCTGATCTGGAGGACCTTAGTAAGCCTCCTTCCCTCCTCCACTCTTCCTTCTCAGTCTACCTCGGTCTGAACTCGAATAGCAGCTACTGTCTTGACGCTTTTAGGTATTGACTTCGTTTTTGTAGTGGACCTGAGCGTGTGATAATTACTTGACGGGTTTCCTCAAGATGACTGTAGCATTGCTTTTCACTTGGTATTTCTGCCCCCTCCGCCTAAACACCCATTCCAATCCCTGATATACGCTCTCCCATGACCCTGCGCCAGCACTATGCTTTCGATTATTACGCCATCCGCATGATATCAACCCCCTCCCCCCCTTTGCCTGTCTTTCTTCTGAAGGAGGCCCTAAATCCTGGATATTCCGCGCCATCCTCGTGACGTTCTCTGTACGCCGTATGCTTCCCCTTTCCCTGATAATATTCCCCATGACGGCAATCCTCTCGGATTCAATATGATTACAAGCCCCATACTTTCCCTCACTTATTCTCAAGATCCTTGGCATCCTGAAACGTCTCATTCAGCTTCGCCGTAAGCCCAGCCCGCATAGCCTGGATCTCCTTATCCCTCTTCTCCGACAGCGCCAGCAGGTCCCGATACTTCCTCTCCCACTCCGACTCGGCGCCGCCCGTGCCCTTCATATTAGGCTTCTCGAGCTTCTCTTCGGGCCGCCGCCACCGGTTGTACATGACCGTCTGCACCATGTTGTAGTTGCCCCGTATCGTCCCCAGCCGGAACTCCCAGCTGCAGCTGTACGTCGCGCGGTCCTCGTATTCTTCCTCCCGCTTCACCCGCAGCTTGCTCGTCGTCATGAGCGCCCTGCCGCCCGCCAGCGCGGCGAGATTGATGAGGAAAGCGTCCTGGTTCGGCGCCGTCTGCCACATCCTTTCTACAGTGGTGTGCACGAGCGCGTAGGCCTCGGCGATGCTGCAGTTCTCGATGGGGTTGTTGTCCGCGTCGACCCAGTCGCCGTTGGCCGTCTCGTGCGCGAAATAGCCCAAGACGGCGTCGATGTTGGTCCGGTCCTTCATGTTTTCGAACATGCCGATGGGGATGTCGTTGGGTTGCGGCGGTATGCCGCGGCCTTTGGCGGCGGGCGGCGGGTCTACCGGTAGGACAGTCTGCGCTTTCAGGTCTACTGGTGGTATGGCGCCCGGGGGGAGGCCTGCGTTGTGACCGGGCGGGAATTTCAATGGTGGTGCTGTGGCTGTCGAGTTTATTATGTCGGGTACTTCGCCCGGGGGTTCCCCGTTGACGATCACGATCGGCGGAGGCGGCGGCGTCGCGAGACGAACGGATCCTCCTTGACGTTCCGGAACCTGTAGTGAGATACTCGGCTTGGCCGGCCGCGGTATATGCGGCGGCGGGGGTAATTCTGGGACCACAGCTGGTGGTGCTGGTGCAGTCTGGGGTATTGGAGCCGGGGGTGTAATCGGGCCCGGCTCGATCTTGGTATCGGGACTCGGCCGCTTGTATGCCGGTCCTTCGGCGGGAAAAGCCACAAATGGCCCATCCACGTTCGTTTTGTTCATAGGCGGTCTCCCCCGAGTCTTGCCGCTGCCTCCCGGCCCGCCACTCCTCCACGCAGAGGACACGACTTTAGCACCGTGCCGCCGGTGTGATGCCTTTGGTCGTGAGGGGGTAATAGCTGACTTCGGTTCCGCATCACCCCAGAACCCGCCGTTTCGCGTTGACGGCGTGAGCGCAGACATCGGACCCTGCGGGTATGCCGTGAGCGGCGTCTGCGCTGTGTCAGGGGCCGGAGGCCAGCCCGTCACTGATCCCGTATTGGCGCTCAACTTCAAAGGATCAGAGCAGCCGAATGTAGCCCGTCCATCCGGGTGAGCGGACCACGGACCCAGAGTCTCTGGCCGGGCGGCGGTGTAGGCCGTCCTCGTCGGCGGCGAGTCCAATCTCGCTCGTTGTGAAGGGGACTTTGCGAACTCCTCGTCCTCTGGCCTTTTCCTCCCCCGCCTGGGCCGAATCTGTGGTAAAAGAGCTCGAAGAGCCATGTCGTCTTCTGCTAGCACACCATCCCTTCCCGCTTCACACACTGGCGTTGGGTCATTTGGGATCTCTGTCCAATAAGGGTGAGGGTGATCCATTAGATACTCAAAGAAGGCATCCACATGCATAGAATGCATCCAGCGCTATGAGAGTCAGCCGATTGCGCGACTCATTGTACCATGCACGTAAACACACCTTGAGCCGGACGGCATACTGCTGAATCTTTTGAGAACTCTGGCCCTTATCCTGGTCAGGGGGTTCTACGCCCAACTTGAGAGCCAACTCGGCCCACGTCTTGATCTCCTTGGTCTCCAACTGCTTGATGAGCTCAAAAAGGGTAAAAGTGCTGAAGCTCTTGCCGCCGCTCTTGGGCGGGATCCGGAAAGCTTCCCGCAGCGCCGCCGTGTCCGTGTCGGGCGGGACGGCCGGGTTGCAGGACATGACGAAGTGGGTGTAGGCATCCTCAATGGTGTCCGCCGTCACGTTCCTGTCCGGGAGGGTGAACCTGCTGCTCGAGATTGATGAAGTCGACGACCGTGGGGCGGCCATGTGCTGATGCCTCATTGAGGGCGACGGGGATTGCCCATGCATGCCGTTGGGCGCCGCCGACGGCGGCGGTGGCAGCGGCGGCGGGAGCGACTGCGGTTGGTGCTGCTGCATCGTCGGTTGCGGGGATATCATCGCGCATGAGTCGGTGTTGAGTAATCCGGGATATTAGACATCGTCACCGACAAGGTGAGAGTTGGGCCGCGCATTGACAGCATGCGCGATACGGGTTGACAGCGTTAAAGCCTGACGACGACGCGACGAAGTGTATGAAGAGTATCGTGGACGCAGCATCACCACCTAGCCAGCTCAACGAGGGGGGCAGAGAGAGTCCCAGGTGCGTCTTTCTGTCTGTTCTTGAGACACGAGCAGGCAATAGAGGCTGAATGACCCGGGAGAAGATGGGGGGGGGATAAAACCGATGCAATCCGTCCCGTAACTCACGGTCTCATCTACTTAGGTGACGGACAGTCAGATCCAAACGGCTCTTTTCGAGATGAGAGGAAAGCTTGGGTCAATCTAAACATTGAATCGAATCGAGCTGGTAAAGTCGGGGTTAATTTAGGGCCCTAGCGAGAGAGCGATGGACGGGCAAAGGAGAGAGAGAGAGGGACGTGCTAAAATTAGCCTTTGTCACCACTATAGCAGTCGTGGACTTTTCATGCCAGTCAAAGGGGGCCACCACCACTGGGGGCCAGAGACTACCTTGGTGTAGAGGCCTAGGTACTGCGTAAGGTAGGTAGGAGTGGGAGAGGAGGCCCTGGGTGGTAGAAGCGAGGTCTTGCTGCAGCCAGGGTCGCTGCAACCAGGTGCGCCATTGCGCTTAGGGCCATCCGGATGCTGGGAAGGAATCCCCCGAGAAGGATCGAGCTGAAGATGGAGCTTGCTTGTGGACGCGGTAACTGTGGTGCTGTGGCAAGGTGTGGTTAGGGGGAACGGCAATTGCGGCCGTGTTGAAACTGTCTCAAACACGGCGAGTTGGACACTGTGCAATGTCATCATTGACCAGCTTCCCCAGATCGCCTCACGCTTAGTCACTACGGAGTAGGTAGCCCCCAAGCAGTAAAACTGCACGAAATGCTTTTACACTTTCTGCCGGCTGCTCTCGGCATTCCGATCTGATCTTGCCGTTTGAAAAACTAAGGCTGTCTGTCAAAGACTGAACTATACCACATCTTCACGAACCACTCATAACAATTTCCATACGGAAGTCAGTAGAGACAAAGATACCTAGGCCAACTGTGTAGTATTCCAGCGCTGGTCATTATATTGTGTTGATGTGCGTCTCTCGACCAACGGTTGAAAGGCTAAAGACAGGAAAGAAGGGTGACTGCTCAGGCAGACTATCTCATTCGCAAAAGAAATATGTCCTTCACACCCTCAATTGTCTTTGTCTACAATAGTGCGAAGTACGGAATACGGGTATCCCACATTGGTAGGCCCGTCGATCACATTCAACCAAATGAGGCGTAATTCCAAGCCTTTTTTGACCTACGCTCTTGACTAATGCTAGTTGCCTCCCCATGCTCCTTGTCCTCCTCTACAAACCCCGGAAACTGGGACCCAAGACCCCAAGAACCCCAAACCTCTAGAGATGCCACGCATGGTCTCCAACCTTACTAATCCCATTGACCCAATCACCTCCGCACCGAGGTTCTTCAGACCAATCGACTTCAAATGACGTGATTGCTCTCTCACAAGCATAGGCCCATTTTCGGTGGTTTGAATGGCTTCATTTATCATCATGCTTTGAAATACAGCATCCAAGTGCTACAGTACATAAGGAAAGAAGAAGCTCGCTAGTAGGAGGAGGAAGCAATTCAAGATATCACTGATCTCATTGACACCATTTCATCATTCTCCTCGTCACCAGTCTCGAAGTGAATTCCACAGCGATCAAGCTCATCTTCACCATCACTATAAAGCTCTAAATACCATCGTGTACCACACTACATTCAAATACATACAGCTCAAACCTCAAATACCAATGGCCATCGACAGAGTCCCCCGCGGCCAAGTCCGCGCAACCCTAAACTTCTTCGCCGCTCCCGCCGACAACGCATCCCCTTACAACCTCATCAACCCAGACGGTCCCCCCTCCAGAAACTACGGCGACGCTCCCACAGAAACCCTCCTCAACGACATCCGCGGCCGCGAAGCAGACTTCTCCCTAGACCGCGACGCCTTCGCCGTAATCCGCAACCTCCCGCCCTCCGCAGAAGAACACTTCACAGACGACGAATCCGTCAAGCAAAACTACTACCCGGAACTCGAGAAGCTCCTCCTGGACCACGTCCCGGGAAGCACCCGCGTCCTCTTCTTCGATCACACCATCCGCCGCGCCGACCCCAAAGCCCCGCGGAACCCAGTCACCCGCGTGCACATTGACCAGACCCCGTCCTCCGTCATTCAGCGCGTGAAAAAGCACCTCCCCGAAGAAGAAGCGGACAAGCTCCTCGCGGGCCGGTACCGCATCATCAACGTCTGGCGCCCGCTCAACAAGACACCCGTCGAGTCCTTCCCCTTAGGCTTCGCGTCGTCCTCGACGCTGGCCGACGAGGATATCGTCCCCATCGAGCACCGGTATACCACGGGCTACACCGGTCAGACGGCGGGTATCAAGTTCAGCCCGGAGCAAAAGTGGTATTACCTGAGCGGCATGACGGGAGACGAGCGGCTGCTGCTCGAGTGCTTCGATAGCGAGGGTCTCCGGGACGGCACCGGTGTCGAGGGAGGTCGCGTGGCTCACACTGCCTTTGAAGATCCGAGGACGAGGGCGGATGCCGTAGGCCGCGAGAGCATCGAAGTACGGGCGCTGGTGTTTGGTCCTTAGAGATACACTAATCTGGAGCTGATTTGAGTTGTACTTAATGAGTCAAATGATAATATGAATATTTTCAACTATGAGCATCGGGGTATCAATGCCGTGCCACACCCCTGTAAATATGGATGAGACTGTTGTCTATCCGTTGTAGCACCACCCCTCTGCCACATCATATATGCCAACCTTTGCTGTGGATTCGATGTATTGTCCACTTAAGATGCACCCATCCATCGTGAAAAGGAAAAGAAAGAAAAGAGATATAAGCTTGCTCGATGCTGTGGAGTTTGACCGCAGTCAATGGGGCTGATGATTACCCCCAAAAGTCGTTCGAATACACTCCTACCAAATATCCTTTGCCTGGATCAAAACCATTTTGTTTCCCAAACGCCGAAACACCATTCAACTGCTCGTACGTCATCACTGGTTCTGGTTCTTGCGACCCTTGCCGCGCGCACTTCCCTGTCGGCTCATCGCTGCGCCGCCGGTTGCGCTGCTGGTACGGCTCATGGGGACGGCTGCAATGGCCGCGAGGGACGATGGAGGGGCCTCATCTCTAATGCTGCTCTCGATTGGCATCAAATCCTCACGGAGCTTCGTTGGATCCGGACGAGGGCCTGGCTTGAAACCCGTGTACGGAGTCATGGTGTAAGGCGTAATGGATGCTTCCAAGATCCTCCTGCTGCCATTGGGATGGTCGATGGAGTCGCCGGGCTTGTGGTTGTAGTCGTACTTCTTGAACATGTCCATGACCATTATGTCGGAATTGATCTCGTCGTGCGACAGCGGTTGCGGCAGGTTGCCGTCAGTATTACCTCTGACCGGCTTGAAGTAGTTGGTCACAGAGACCGACGGCAGTTTGGCAGGTTCGTGTGGCTGCATGATTTCGAGGTACTTGGGCAGTTCCAAGCCATTGGCTCCCTCGACAGCATCGATCAGGTTTTGGTTGATGCCGGCCCTCGTGCTTCTAGTGGCATGGGAGCTGGTGCGTTCCATCGTCGGGGCGGACAGGGCCTCGCTATCGTGTTCACCATTTTCATCGCCGTTGCCAGAGTCGCTGCCCGGGGATGAGCCCCCGTTCGCATAGGGCTTGTGTCTGAGGATATGCTTGTGGGAAGCAACGGCTGCAGCGTTGTAGGCCATGCTGAGTTCTTTCTCAGTAAAGAGCTTATCAATGCTGTAGGCTGGGCCATTTTGTTTCGCAGCGACTCGAAGCTTCTCGTTCTGCCAGAGAGGTGTTGTGTTGTTGGGGTCGAGCGCTCGTCGGGACGGAACGGGGGAGCCGTCGTCTTCGCCGGGGTGCCTCTTGCGCTTCTTGCTATCAGCATAGCTGGCAAGCTCTTCGGCGTCCTTGCGTAATCTCGTCGCGCGTTTTCCGTGAGTGCCACCGGGGCTCGCCGGGTTGGTGATGCTGAACTGGTTGGGGTGGAGCAGCAGCGCTGAGGAATCTGAGATCTCCAAGGCTTCCTTCTCCTTGTTCAGGCGGTACTTCCTCGACAGCAGGGTATTAACGAGCCTATCGCGGAGTGTTGAAGAAAGGGCTTGGTGCTCGCGCTTAGCGGTTTCGACCTTGTAGAGGTATTCGTTCTTGTACTGGTGGAGGCGGCGCTCGTGCTCGTGCTGTTGTGGCATTTGTTAGCTTCGCCGACGTGAAGACAGGGAAGAGTCGGCCACACTTACCATGTGCTGGAGCAAATGAAAGTCTCTGTACTCAACAAGGTCCTCAATGCCCTGGACAAAGTCCTCAAAGTTGGGGCCCGCCATCTGGAGCAGAGTGCGGTTGCTGTCGGAAAGCGTCTCTTGTCCTTGCGTCTCCTCATGTTCCTGTCGCAGACTGGCAATGATGTTCAGGACATCGTCGGCGTAGGGGTCGATGCGCTGGACAAGGTTGGTGTCAACCTGGACCTTTTGAAGCTGATCGCGGTACCCGAGGTCACGATCCCGACTGAATTTCTCTTGCAGGTTGGCGATCTTGTCGACAAGTGCCTGGCGCTTGCGGTCGCGCTTCGATTGGGGCGCCGGAGAGGCTCGGCCGGCCTTTGGTTGAGCGGAAGCACCCCCCAAATTGGGGATGGCTGCTTCGTTGGCTGCCATTGTAATATGGACGAATAGCTTCGTGTATTGGCCGTTTGGGAGTATAATCAATTCGTTTGTTCAAGGGGAGTAGCGTTGTTGTACTTGGGGAGAATGGTACGGTCTGGATGTGTGTACGGCGACCGTCGCAAACCGGAGCTCAAGCAAGACGACGTTGGCTAGAGGGGAGATTTGAAGAAGAAAGGTTCGGGAGTCGATTTGACAGAGAAGGTGTCTCTAATTCACGACTCTCGAATATGGAGGATATCATTCAGCCGCCCATTCGAAGTGGTAGCTCTTGCCGGGGTGTTTGTGTGGGAGAACGTAGAATCGGAGAAAGGTGAGGGTACTGCGGAACGAGATGGTCCTGTGCAGTGTGTGCTTGCCTTGTCAGCCTTTCCGCTAAGTGACCGCATGCGCCTCCAAGTTCTGTACCTGACCGCTGGAGGGGTGAATTTTTCTTATTGGACGGGGGTTGCCCGATGACTTCCGCAGGGGCCAGGCCACTTAGTGTACGGAAGGGATAAAAAAACAAGCAGAGGCGGCCTGCCAGCTGTAATTCAGCGCATGCCGATTTTAGGCCGAACCTCCTAAGACTTCCAGCCCGCAAGGTACAACCTCCACCCGGAAGATTTATGAGACGAACACTCTTAAGTTATAAGGCATACTTAGGGAAGGCTTTGCATTCAATAGATGTAAGATAAATCGAGATAGGACACAACAAAAGACTGAACCTCTCACCACTGTCTTGTGTTCCACCATCTTCACCTTAATGAGCTTATAGATTATGAGCTCTCATTGCCAAAACTCAGGATCCAGTGCTTCACCGCCTGCATGCAAAGCCCCGCGAGATGGACTACCTCATCAACTATGATATTTACAACCCGTTTCTGAGCTTCTGAAGCTGGCTCATCAAGCCATAACCCCCTAGATACGTCTTGGCCTCCGCTGCATCGGCATGAACACTCCCCTTCCTCGCCCGCCCCTCGTTCCCGTCCCTCCTGCTCGCCTGATCAACCTCTCTCATGAGGTCCCGATGCCGGTCTTCCACCATCTTGGCCAGGCTCTCAATAAACTTTGTCCTGCCCTTCTCCTCCGCCGTGCCCTTCCACACCTTGTTGAGCTCCTTGAGCTCCTCGATCCGCTGCGCCGCCTTCTCGATGCCCTTGACGGAATCCTCCGACTTGGTCAGCAGCTGCGAGATCTCGTCCCGCAGACCCTGCAGCACCTGCTGGCCCTTCTCCTCCGTGCTGTGCTGCTCCGCTCCCGGGTCGGGCGCCGAGACCGACAGGAAGGACGAGCTGACCGAGAGCTCCGACGGCGGGAAGACAAATTCCATGGCGTTGCCAAAGGTCTTGATGACGGTGTCGAGGCGGGAGCGGACCACCGTCAGCGTCCGCAGCTGGTTGATGTAGGGTGGTTCTGAGGTTTCCGCCTTGCCCTCTGTGGCCGTAGCTTCGTCGTCGCCGGCCTTGCTGGCGCCTACTGATTCCCTCCTCTCTTGCCCATCCACGGCCTTGGGTACCGCTTCCTTAGCCTCCTGATCCACACCACTCGGCGCGAACTTCTTGATGTCCTCCTGCAGCGTCTCATTCATCGTCTCAGCAAGACTCAGGGTCTCACCTCGGAGAAGCTCGACTTCGTAGGCGAGTCGGCTACCGCTCCGGAGGATGTCGTCCGTCAACTGGGTCAACGTGCCGGAAAGCCTCGTCGTGTGGATGTTGAGCTGGGACAGCAGCGCTTGCGCCTCATTGGACAAGTCGGCCAGCGGTACGGCCTGACCGTTGCCATTGCTTCGTGAAGAGTGGTAGCTGCCATGTTGAAGCGGTGGCAGAGTAGCATTCAGATATGCTGCTGGATCAAAAGAAGGATCCAGGAAGCTCTGCAGAAAGTCGTCGGCTACATGGCTTGATTTGGGCTGGATTGTTACTTCCGGCTGTTCGCGAGTGTGAATAGGTAGCGTCTTGGGGGCGCCAGCGTTGCTGCTCTGTCGGCGATGTAACGCCGACTTAGAATCCCACGACATGTTTCCAGTGGAAGTTCTATGCCGGAAATTAGGGAGATAGGATAGTGAGCGTATTGTCTCGAGTTGTTGACTCGCTGAGGACAGGTCTCATCCAAATGGATGAATCCATGCACTGAGTTTAGTGGTGAGAGGTTGGGCGGGTAGCTAGCCCCACTTTCACCCGCTGCCGCTCTCCCTTGCCCGAGAATCGGTACCTTCAACACCTGGCTCCGATTTATCTCACGTCTTAAGGGAAGAATAACTCATGGAATAAAGATGGTCACGCCGCGCGTTTGAATGTTATGATAAATATTTCTATTGATTTCTTTTCGCTTCCGTTTCAGAAGTAGACATCTAAATTTATCCACTATTGGGTATCTTTTGGCCATAAGAGCTCCCGTTTGTACAAACACCGAATCATCGTTACAAATACAATAAACCATATGACTATCAGACATGCGGCAAAGACGCAACCGAATATCTGCAGTCCGTTGTTCTGCAAGGCCTTGCCAAGCGCGGTTGTGGCTGTGACAAGTGCAGTGTTCGGGAAGACAAACGACCACCATGTCATTTGAAAAGGCATCTTGCTCTCTGGCCGTACATACTTCCAAAGTGATCCTACGGAGACGATGAAGAACCACATGCTCAACCCCCAGAGCCACAGCCCTATCAACACAGACATGACTTTGATGATGGGAACGGCAAGGTCGGTGCCCAGGAAATTGCTGGGCAGAATTTTGTCTGCGGAATTACCGAGTTGAACTGGAACGTTTAGTCGGGCCTCCAACCATATCGAAAGGGGAAGTCCTACCTAAGCCTCCGACCGTGAAGGCAAATGGCCCAATAGAAATGAACTGAGTTGGTCAGCATCACTCTTTCACACTTGTACCAGAAAGAATTACACACCACACCAGGACGTTGAAAATCCCGCGGTAATTTCTGCGTCATCAACCGATAGATAAAGGCAGCAGAGATCATAAAGGCAATCAAGCAGCCCGCGCCTTGCGTAGCGACTGCGCATAGTGCAATGGCAGTTCTATTAAGCGTAACGACCTGCTGATTCGTTTGCACAGCGGCTTGGATAAGGTTGCTCGCAAAGGGGGCCGTGAGAAGTAGAGGGTACGCCGGGAAGACCCAGGTAGGAGTCATGGTGTGAATGGGAAATATCCTAATAAGCATTAACCAGACCGAAACTACTTGCGTAGGCTGAGAGGAAGCTCACAGTGTGGACCAAAGAATCAGGTAAATAGTGGCACTGGCAAGCACACTCAGGGCTATGTAGAACCAGAACAGAATCTGCATGATTCTAAGTAGCCAGGGCCCTACATGCGGTACACCGAACTGGCATATGTTGATCGATATGATGGCGAAGCTGTGGCTATTCAGTTGATGCCCAAGCAGGACCGGTCAGGCAGCTTACGAGACAACAGCAGAAGGAATGAAAAGCGATTCCGTCTGGTCTGTGAATGAGTGGGTGAGGGCCCCTGGTCTCGATTTGAATCGAATACTGGCAAGGGCACAGTTCATGATGAAGAGGATGACATTGAGTAGGAAAAATGCTACGGCTATGCCGTTGAGCCAGGCAGCTTGGTAGGGGACTGTTCCAAGTTAGCATATGCGCCGAAAAGCAGTACTCGGTTTACTGACGAGAGTGTATCACATTCGCCATCCCTCCGGTAGCCTACGTTGAATCAGTATCTTCTGAATATGGTTTGTAACGTATTGCCTACCATCGTCTACTAATTGTTAGCACCGACATTATTCGGGTGAGCGGGAGTGTTACCATAGTGAACCAAGTCCAGGTATGACAGGCGATCCGATCTCGAATTCCTACTTTGCCCAAGCTAGAATGCTTCTCAAGCGTAGCTTTGGCGTTGTTTGGACTAGACTCATTCGACTCTGCCTGCCGCTCGGCCGGGGGCATCGCCGTGCTATCCTCCGTTTCAAAGGCCGGTCCATGGGAGGAACGAGGAACAAACGGGGGCCGTCTCAAAGGAGATCTAGGTAAGGGCAATGATGCCAAAGGAGATTCGTTCGGAGTAGCAAAGTACGAGGGGCGATTGCTGTGCTCATCCGGGGTCTGGTAGCCGCAGTTGGCTACCATTTCATGGGTGGGGGCCATTTTGCGGTGGGAGAATCCCAATCTTCAGGTCCTCGAGCCAGTAGCTTCGACACAACGTAAAGAGGGAAGAGTAGACTGGGTTCAGCATTGGATAGGGCGATGTTCATGTAGACGAGGTTGGTGATGAAAACAACGTGGTCGAGGAACAGAGAGCCGAGATCGAAAAGAGGCATGCTCAAAAGCGGGCGGGCGTCCTTGAACGCAGTTCCGCGCAGTGCGGGTTGGGTGAAGGTGTGTCGTTGGGAGAGGCGTGAGGGGAGAATTAGCCCCAGGTGTGGACGAGACGTGTGGGTGGATATAGTCAGATGCCGTCCTGGTTATGTCGTGGTGCAGGGCCACAAACGCAGATCCTAGCTCCTTCCTTGCGCCAGGGTGAACAACGAGTCGTCGTGTGGGCTGCAGCCAAGGTAGTCTGAGGTGGTGTCGTTAAGTTTTTTTCCTGGGCCTGTCCGTCGTGAATAGACGGAGTTGTTATGGTGTTTGTGGTGGCAGTCGCGTGGAAGATGTACAGCGACAATGACGCGCTCAACAGTTGGAATCACGATAAGATGGAAGCTGGCTGGGGATTCGTTATTCGCAATGAGATTTCACAGCCAATGCTGTCAGCGACTTTTCTTGGTGCTTCGGGAGATGGCCCGGCTTGGTGAGTAAGGCAAATCCCAGGGAGAGGTTGTGAAGTGTAAAGTGGTGCCTGCGTCATACAGAGAGTTGGCGGTAGCAACGGCGTGCTAGAACTTGCCCAGAGAACCGGATATGACCCTGCCGCGGATGACACAGCAAGACCAGGGTCTCAGCACATCATGTGGGGTCAACCAACACCTGGAAGCTGTCACTACCTGGAGATGCAGACTTGTAAACCAGTTGTCAAACTTTTCTTCCCTCGACTTTTCTTTTGCTTTCAGCTCGCTCAAAAGTTACAAAGTGGACAACAAAACACAAGCCGGCCTGGAAAGTAGTTCCCGCCGGCGGTTGACCATTTCGATAAGAACTGAAGAGCTACCTACCTTACTCTGCATTTATTTCCAGCACAGCACTCTTTTCATCGCTCGCGGGGGTCGGTGGCTTATCGTCGACATCGCTGATAGGATGCGCGTTACCGGCCAGCGACAACGCTAGACGTGTGGGGGACTAGCAAAATTGCGGGAGGTCAACGGTTCGGATCTCGACCTCTTCCAAAGTTGCGTCCTTCAACAACCGAACAACCGTTCGGGCCGGTATTTCCGGCTAAACATCTAGCCCAAGACTTCGACCTCACCCACCACCCACCTAGGCTATCACGCTATCCAGACTCAAGTTTTGAGGACGGCAGCACCTCCGGTTTCTTTCGCTGCTATAGATTCGTACATGCACGCCGTACCCGCAGTGCAGCAATAATGACGCCTGAATTGTGGGTTTAGCTGCCCCCACGCAAGTAAGGTAGTGAGTGTTCTTGCTGCCATGTGAAATGTGATGGGCCGGTCGACCTCACAGGTACCTTTCGTCCTGAATAATATCGCCGGCGGGTACGTTGTTCCTTCCCAAGTGAGATGAACAGCCTTCCATTCCTTCCTACCTAAGGTGGTACCTCAAGGTACCTTTTACCTGAGCATCTGAGATTTCAACGACACTCGGTTCTCTCGACAAACTGCAACTTTCAAAAGCCCCGACACAGAGTGTTCCTCTCTGACGATGAAGTACCACTTCCCTCCAAACCATGACTGCAATTGCTTTATCGCTTGACCCAATTGTTCTGTCTGACCCCACGACTCAAACCGTCCTTGACATCGCGAGTACAATTTCCTTCCGCTCGTCAACAGATCAAAGACTATTCTCGACTGCCAACGAGCTGCTCGCGGGCATTCAATCAGGAGATCTATTTGTCCTCAAGGCTCAAACTTGCTGCTTCCTAGTCTCGCTTACCCAGGAGAAAGGCAATGCAGATGACCAAGCGGTTCTCATGGATACCATTGCCGCTAACATAATAAGCTGTCCGGCAAGCAACATCGCTGATGAGATGACGTCCGGCACTTGCTAATCGGTCATAGATCTGGGTCCAGCTAGGAATCGATATAGTGCACAATTTGGAGACTCCCGCCAGCCATCGGCATCTATCTTTCAAGATTGAGCATAAAGAAGCTATCTTACACCCAACTCTACCTCCCAATACTACGGTAATTACGATGCAGCATTTGACCTGCTCGTTCTACATTCGTCAGGAACCATCCATTTCCGGAGGTCCCATGATATCAACCCCTCCAAGGACGTTATCGATGACTGGCAGTCATGGCCCTCTCCTTGATTTAGAGAGTGGCTCAGATTTGGATGTCTCATCTGTGGAATAGGGTTCACAAGACGAAATTGACGACCCTTTTAACAGCCAAGATTCAGGTGTATGTCTGCTACCTTGCGATGCTGCCGCTGCATCCGAAAAGCAAACGCCTCAAGATGAGGTCATCTCTTCCCTAGGTCGACTTGTGGAAGCTGGTCTCAGCATTTTAGTCGTCGGCCACAGGGCATTTAGTGGTATCAGAACATTGACTACAACGAGAACACCAATTATCTGCCTCGCACCCGAGGTTTTCAATGTGAACTATCTTTCGGTGGGTTGCCTCTTTGACCATTGTTAATACCGATGCAAGAGCTAATCTAGACAAAGTCCTTGACTTCTCGGTCTCGCCTCCTACCAGCGTTGTCCTCTGTGTTCCAAGACCTTGCTCACATTGAGTCTTGTCGACTACGAGATTTTAGTTCGGTTTTGAATAGCATCCCCGCAGGCAGTCTCGACAGCGCGGCCCAGAATGATGAGCTCGATGGCTTCGAGCACCGCATATGGAGGCTCATGCGTGCGCAAATACCCGCTTGCGAAAAAACCAAATCCTTACAGCAACAATCCCGAGATCTAGCACGTGCAGATGAATATTCAAAAATCATGGAAATCGATGCCATGATTCCGTACGAAACTGGAACAGAGGACGAGGTCTCACTTCATGATAATTTCGGCCTCGCGACCAATGATGAGCGTGAAGCGAACCAGGACCATAATATCCTATACACGTTATCAGGCATCGATATGGAGTTTGATCAGAACACGCCATCTTCATGGAGAATTGACGAGAGACTGCTTTTGGCTTCTTCATCCCTGACTATGAATTTCCTCACGGAACGGAGTCAGCTCGGACACGAGCAAGAGGAATGCAACGACGAGGGCTGCTATCCGGAAGACACTCTGAATTATGATGTCGATCTAGAAGCCTTTGGCTCGCCATTCTCACCACGGCCACCCTCGTATTTCGGAAGAACTTCTGAACCAAACAGCGAGGCAGACTCAGAGGCGCATAGGTCGAGTTGGGATTTCGACTTGGCGGATACATCACTGCCACCTCTGACTTCAATGCGAGAACTAGTCGGGGTCGGTCCTGGAAATTACAGTGATCGGTCAGATTTCGGCCTCGATAATGAGTACCATAACGATTTCGGAGAAGGTCATGATGCCAATGATCCCCAAAGGCAGCGGTCAATGTCTCTCATATCATACAGCGATTGGCGAAGTGATGAGGACGAGGATATGGGGCCGTTCTCGGAGCTATCATTCCAGCCAACCGGCCATGACCGCCAACCGGATGATGATGGGATGTACGGGGAACCTGAACTCGGCCAGAGGCCCCAGGATTGCATCTGGCCAAGCGAAGTCCTCTCCGGAAGCGAAATTGACCTTTACGAAGACGATCAAATCGAGTAAATCACCCGTCGGAAATTTACTGGTTGTCTGTTGGCCGATATTTCGTCGATGTCCACCACGAGTTCAGGGAACGGGATTTCAAGAGATATATTGCAAGAAATGGATGTCGAACGCAGCCTGTGACATTCGAGCATCACAAACTGTGGTATCTGCCGCTCAAGCGCGGCCATAAAACCGACTCATTTCTGAAGCCTTAATACAATTCATTATCCAACCTCTCGCCCCATTGTTGCAGCTAAGAAGAGTCCGCCATGGCGATGTCTCTTTTAGTGCACGGGCATGCATTGTGTCTCCTCAAGCGACGCAATGGCGTTGGTAGTCCACCACTTAACCAGGTCCCTGTGCCTATCTTCGCAACAAATCTTCCGAAAAGTGCATGTCTTTCAGGCCGCAAAGCCTCTCATTTTTTCCCTCCCTTGCCTCCCTTCTTCGGCTCCTTCTTCTTCTTCTGTTCGGGCTTCAGTGTCGCAAAGTGGATGTACCAGAGAAGCACTCCCTGGAGGATGACGGCGACGAGGACGATCAAAAGGATGGTGAAGAGAATGGGCTGGTCGTTCAGAACCGCGACAGCCTCAGGCGTCGCGCCAATAGATCGGAACCAGTCGAATTGACCCATTGTTGCGGTCTCGAATCTTTCGGAGTGGATCGAAATTCGGGTGCGGTGCAGGCGCAATAGCTCACAGAATCGTGCTGGCTTACGCCTTGCCGGTCGTTGATTTTCAGCGGCTGGTTGAAGAGGTGCGAAGTCTGCTCAGGCACCTGCGACGGGCGGTATGGACTGTGGTGGTTGGAATTAAAGGTGTGTATAGTAAAGTCAAAAATGAAGGTCTGAGTCTCAAGTGCGCCAGTCACAAGGGAATAACAAAAAAAATGTACGTATTGTTGGGGTGACCGGATTAGAAGGTTTTTGTTCGACAGTAGGAAACACAAGATGCAAAAGCAATCCAGAAGGAGAGAGGAGAAAGAATAGGAGGGTTAGTAGGGGCCAAGATGTAGGAAAGATGATCCGCTCGGCTTCTCGAAACGGGAGATGTCACAATTGGGTGCGCTTCAAGGGCGAGGAGGTGGCCCTACGGTGGCCATGCCACCACCGTGGTGTGCCTTTTCGCAGGCTAGACCGCCTTGGGGGTATGAGACCAGGACGCGACATAGCCGCATCGTCGTGGTTGAATGTGCGAGGGAGGGCGCTGCCGGGGGAGGGGCGGCATCGATGCGCGTTTCAGGCCTGCAGCAGAAAGTCGACTGATGTCTGTTGCGGGTGATTGGCTGCGCAGGGACGAGCTGCAGCGGTTACTTCGGCACTAGAAAGGGGTCCTGGGCTTCTTCACGGGATAGACGTTCTGTTGCAGGCAAGTATTACGGATTGGATTAGCCATGTGGTTATTGAGCCTGGCAAGGATTTCCATTTGGCAACGACATCAATGGAGGTCCTTGCGCTTTTTCCAGTCGATTGAAGCTTTGGCTTGGCTCCATGATATCTTCAGAATGATGCTGACCAAGATAACAAAACACTCCTGTCCAAGTACCTTACTTTGTACTATGAGCTTGATGGAGGTTGGCCATTCGCCAACGATGAATATGGGAGTCGGAATAAGACCGTGCACTTTAGGATTAAGTAAGCCAACCCCTGAACTCCAGCAGGGTCTCGGTGAATCACGAGCTTTCGGTGTGACACAAATACAAGTCGTCAACCCCAGTAAGGTCATGTGACTTGAGGAATATCTCCGCGCCGTCATGACCGTAGTCGCACGGACCAAGAGCGGGAGAAGACCGGGCCTGTTGACCAATGATGTGGCCTGGATCCGTCCCAGGTAATTGACTGCAAGCCGATCCAATTGAGCTTTCCAAAAAAATTGTCGACCAGCTGGCGCGACCCTGAGCTCAAGACCAAAGAGCCCATCACGCGACTTGCACCCACTCCCAGACGACCTCATTCTACCCCTTTGCTGCCGGCAACGAACTGGCGCAGAGACGTCGCCCCTCTCTGCTGCGATGAACTCGGTACGCCCGGCGCGGAGCGTCTTGTCGAGATGCGTCTCCTCCGCCTCGAGCGCACCGGCCGCCCTTCCCTACCGTCTATTCCACAGCTCCGTTAGCAGGTCAGGTCGGAGGCGGTCACGATTCAACAATATCACCGCCGAGAGGATGGGTTTGACGACCCCCGATGCCATCGAAAAGTATGCGAAACAACACTTCCCCGAGTACACGGAACAGCAAAAGGAGTTTCTGAAGGAGAAGTACACCCCCGAGCAGTGGGAGGCTCTCCAGGCCGCCGAGGAGGCCATTGACCCGAAAGATTTGGTGATCCAGGGTCGGTTACGAACAGACCCTTACACGCAGCCCTATATCGACGACTTCTCGACCGTCCAACCCATCATCGATGCGAAACCCCAAGCGCCTGCGAAGCCCGTGGAGCCGAAATGGCTCCCGAGGAGAATGTGGATCGACGACTACATTGAGAAGATGGCCGATAGGGTCGGCAGCCAGATGCAGGACACCATGGGCAAGGCATTTGCCAAAGCGCTGCGCAACATCTCAAAGACAAACCCTGCGAAGCTCGACTTCACCGAGGAGGAGCTGCACGAGCTCGAGACCAACCCCGAGTTGCGCCGCAAGTTCTTGGTCGACAACGAGGCCGACGTGCTTGGGGCGAAGAAGGAGAAGAAGGCCGGGGCGGCGTCCATCGCAACCGACGACTGGCTGAAGCAGTTTGACAAGGAGTTCTTCGACGAGCTAGAGGGCTCCTTGAGCACCTCGGAGAACCCCCTTCGCTCCCGCGTAGCCTTGTGGAAGGAAGCCGACGGCAAGGGCACCTCGGCGCTCGCTCCTGAGCTCGGCAAGGTTGAGGGTGTCAAGGGACTCTACCAGCCCCCGGAAGACGTCGAGGACGACGGCCTCGACCCCACGGGTCGCTTCATTAAGCTCAAGCAGGCCACCGGCATGAAGATTAGCGATATTCTCTCCATTCTCACCAAGAGAGTCGTCATTCGATCCGTTTCTAACCAGACTCGTCTGGGCAAGATCCGCAGCGCTTCCGTCATCGTCGTAGCCGGTAACGGAGACGGCAGATTGGGATTGGGAGAGGCCAAGTCAACGGACCCCGGTATTGCGACGGCCACGGCCACGCTTCTGGCTATCCGCAACATGAAGCCTATCCGCAGATATGAGAACCGCACCATCTACGGCAACGTCGAGACCAAGATCTCGGGAACTGTTGTGCAGCTCTTTGCCCGTCCTCCCGGTATGTTCTAGCCCTTCTAGTTCCTCGACCCCTTGTTATATCTTTGGCACAATTATACTGACACACAATCAGGCTTCGGACTCCGCGTCTCTCACAGGATATTCGAAATGGCCCGTCTCGCCGGTATCCACGATCTGGCGGCTAAGATTCCCCGCTCCAAGAACCCTTACAACACCGTCAACGCCGTTTACAAGGCCCTCATGAACCAACCCGATCCGGAGGAGATTGCCATTGGTCGCGGAAAGAAGATGGTCGATGTGAGAAAGGTCTACTACGGCGGATCTGTGTATTAATCTATATACCACTTCTGTATACCACTGTATATGTTCAAACAAAAAGCGCAAATCTCTCGAGAACTCCCTCTGTGGTCCCCGCGAATAGTGAACGCAACTCTTGATGTCATAAAGTGATTGGCGTCGTGTATTTCTTGGGGTATCTGCTCTGATCTTTGTCTCGTCATGCATTTGTACACTCTCCATCTTCCTCTCGCGATGCAATCCGGACAGAAATGCCGCGGATAGCAACATGCCTTCTCTCAATATAGATGTTGCACCCTTGTGATCCCATGTATTTGTCTTCCTCTACTCCTCTTCCTCCTGGCTCCTGGCTTGGTCACCCCAATCGATTTCCTGCTGCAGCACTATGCTGTACACACTCGCCTTGAGTAGAGTAAAGACCAAGCTCGTCTTGCGCTCCAGCTCCCGCAGGCCGTCGAGGATCTCGGTGCTCGGCGAGCCGCTTAGGTCTTCGAGTGTTGAAGCAAGCTGCAGTCCAAAAAGGAGGGACAAGTTAGCTTTGCAGGTCTTTGAGATCGGACTGAGGGAAAGGGGGGAAGGGTCCGAGTCTGAGTGTAATGTAGGAAGCTATGCGACGAGACGAACCTTCTTCATGTTGTCCGCCAACTTTTCGTACTCTTCTAGCACCTCGGCCTCCAACGGCGACAACTCCGGCTGCGAGTGCAGCAACGTGGAGTCCCGCCCCTGCTCCATTGTGATGATGAAGCTGCCTCTTTCTTTCTCTGTTTCGTACGATGTGCCAAAGTCAAATGTGGTCGGCGCTAAATGGGGTACAGCGACTTTCGTTCTGGCTCAATTATCGGCGGGAAGTTGTTTCGGTGAGTCGCGGTGGGCGGGACGCGTTGTGGCTTGAACCCCGCCAATCTAACCTTGGGCGATGTGCCCCAGGAACACTACCCCGAAAAAAAAAGCATCAGTCCCCTTGTCGGTGAGGTGCATCTTTCGGTGAACGCCTTACCTAATGGGGAGGGACTTGTAAGCGGCTCGTGCGCCTTCACCCACCCACACCAGAGATGCGCGCGGACTTCCCGTCATCTTCCAACAACGTCCGTCCACACCTCCATCTTTCAAAACAGTCTGGAGCGGTAAAGGAGGTTATCGTTAGAGCGTCTGACAGGACGTCCAAGTATGCCCCTTCAGATGTCTTTCGATAGGGGAGAAGGTTGGGTAAGAGTCTGTAGGTGAGGCACTGAATTACCGCATCCAGTCCGTCTACTACCTTTCATCCAGAGGTTTTCTGCGAAATGGCAATGAGGGATGCTTTAAATCATCGCGGCCGTCAACCTCTATGAACATGCCACCAAACCTGATTTTCTTTCCCTTTTGGGATTCCGAAGCGCATCGTAGATGTCAATTCTGCCAAACGTGCCGTGTGCCGAACCTGATCATGAGCGCGTTCCAGAAATCACACATCCATCGTTCGTATCCTCCAAGTAAAAGGGATGGCTTGACGTGGCAAGCTTACTACTCATCGACATCTGCCCCGGATGGTTTCAGGACTAAACTAGAGCACGCGAATCTCATCCCCGTCATTTCGCGACAGTCAGCCACGGAGCTGCCATGGCCGGCCGACACCACCAAAACCACATCTCACTTTGGGCCCAAAGTCGGACTAAGATGGAACTAGAGCACAGGTGAGAGAGCTTAGGGGGGTGGGAAAGCTCTAAATCCAGATGCTCTAGCTCAGGTCACTTGATGAACCAACAATGGTACCAAGCTGCCAGCCATGGGTTCAATCTCACTTTCATTATAACTCGAGGGTGATCTTTCTTTTCTGGCGTCGTTCGAGATGCTTCTCGTCGAAAAAAGGGGAGATTTTCTACAGCACAGCGCCCAGCAAACGACACGAGTAAAGAAAAAAAAAGTGGCTTAATTACATCAACCCAAAACTGAATAGGGAAAGCAATGGCCGGATCAAAGACATTCGAGCAGTCACCGCCTCTCACGGCCAGCGACTCGGCCGAACTCCACACAAAACGCTCCAACACGCCCGCGCTCCTCGTCCGGCGATCATCCCTGATGAGCAAGTTCCCCGAGTCGAGCTCCTCCGCCTACGTCCTCGACTGGGAGACGGACAAGTGCAAGCAGCGCCTCCTCAACCACGCCGAAGACCTCTTGAGGGAAGCCGTGGGCCGGAGGCGGCTCACCATCGTCCAGGGCCTGCCGCTGGATCTGGTCCAGGTGTTGCGGGATTCCCTGGGCGTGAACTCCGGGTTTCTCGAAGCGCATGCGGGGAGGCGGCGTCATCGGCCGTCTAGGAACGACGAGGGCTCGAGTTTTGTTTCGTTCGCGTATCCGGAGCTGGTCAAGACTACGAGGGGGAACTATGGCCCGGATCCTGGGTATAAGCCGTCGGCGAGGCAATCTGATCTGGTGGATGTGATGGACGAGGCGCCTTTTCATATGATGTCGAGGGATGGGCAGGCAGTCATGTTCTGCCATGCTTCATTGTGGATGAGCAGCAAAGCCGATGGTACGTTTTTAACAGTCCCCATGGTCACATCTCACATACTAACTTGCGCCTTCAGTCCTCTTCCTAGACCGTCCCATCTGGAACGACCCCTCATCACAGGTCCAAAAGGCGCGGAGACCACTCTCCGTCACCCGCTCATGGCAAAGCAAAATAGACGAGTCTCAAATGGACGGCACCTCAGTCTGGAACGTCCTCATAGCCGAAGGCGACGAGCTTCCAGGTCTCGAAGACAGCCTCCTCCGCACCTTTCGTCACTCCAACGTCACGAGACAAACCCTCCCCGACATCCTCTGCGAGGCGGTCCACGATAAGTGGCTCGACTTCTTCGAGACCCTCCCCTCGTGCGCCCAGCCCGGGTCCTTGCAGGATGGGGGGCTCTACTGGCAGGCCACCGAATCCCTCGAGCAGAACCTCGATCTTGCGCAGGACCAAGCGCACCAGCCGCTCCTGGACGGTGGCGGCGGTATGCGGCACCCGGACTGGCGGTCCCTCCTGGAGCGTCTCCAGCGCCGTGTCGCCATCTCGAAGCTTGGATCGACGCCGAGGCCGCAGACTGCGTGGCCTCGGACGCAACCCACCACGGCGGCCCTCCAGACGCGGGACGTCAACATGCCCATGCAAGGCACCAACAACCAGCCGTACCCGGACGCCATGGCAGCAGACGGCGGTAAAGAAGCGAACCAGCGCGCCCTCGACCGCGTAACCTACCTCGGAGGCATCCTCCTCCCCTTCACGGTAGTCTCCGCCATCCTCTCCATGAACGAGGAGTACTCCCCCAACGCGCCACGGTTCTGGGTCTTTTGGGTCTCCTCCATCGGCGCCGCCATCCTGTGCCTCCTCATCATATACCTAGACCAGCTGCGCTGTCTCGAGGTGTATTTCGAAGTAGCCGCCGCGGGGACAGTCGAGTCTTTCTTCCCCTCCAGCAAAACCCACACTGCTGCCGCCACCACTAACGGGATATCTCTCATGTCGATGCCCCCGCAGTCGAGATGGCGCCGACAGCAGGCGACGGAGATGTACATGGACATGGCGGAGCCCGGGGGCGGAGACGTCGAGGTCATGGCTGATTCCGCGGTGAACCCTACCATGGTCGTGCAGCAGGGCCGGGACGGGTCGAACACCAAGGCATGGCGGAGGAGGCAGCTCGGCTGGGGCGGCGCGGTGAAGAAGGTTGTGGGTTATTATCGGTGGACGGGCGGCAAGCCGGTGCAGATTAGTCCGTACGGATCGGAGAGGCTTCAGATGAAGACGATTTGAGACGCGTGGTGTAGTAATTACGATAATGACAATCTCGGTCTGGTCAATGGAAAAGTCTACCTTTTATTTGATTGTATCATAGTCTCTAATTGCGTTCAATATGACTTGTTCACTGCATACCTTTGTTTTTGGACGTCAATCTTGGATCCCACTTGGTCCTCCGTTCCATCTTCCACATACCATCTTGCCAATCCTTGATGAGGGCAGGCGACTAACGCATAATAAGGCGCAGGGTTTGAGAGCAATGTAAGGTCATGTCTTTCGCTAAATGTCAGCAGACTCAACCGCTCCACGACGCCCGAATTCCGATACTACAAATACTGCTGTAGTGTCTCTTCCAAACCACCTTTTGTTTTCAGGAGCATAAAAGCAATTATTGACATGATGATAGCGAAAAAAGGGTATCACGAAATAAGTGCCGCTACGCGGGACCGCCCCGAATATCTCCAGGCGAGACCGGCGTGGGGCCGTGTCCGGGTGCAACGTCCGATAAGAAAAGCGGTTCTTTGCTCCGGAAGTATGAAGTACTTATCAGATGCCCTTGGAGAGCTTTCAACTTCCTCTCGACCCTGTATAACCTGGAAAGCACCACACAGCATGAAATCAGGGAGGGGTTGCATTTGCTGGGAATGCCCAATCATCTTTCTGGAACAGGAACACGGCGGTTGGCACAGCGTTGTAGACTGTTGGTTGGTAGCAGGGGGTAGGCAGCAGGCGACAGCCTACAGGGTAATAAAGGTAACTTCTGGACCCCAACGATCTCAACCAACAAGTTGGGACATAATGGTGCTTTGTCTTTGAGCCGTCACATTCGACAATTTGCAGCCTGGGAACCTAGAATGGCCTAAATTGGGGACCGCACCGTGATTACCTTGGTCCACTTCTCATCCAGGAATGTCACTGCAGGTGAATCGTAGGTCCGTTTATACCCAGGCTGATGGATGCCTCAGCCAACAGTCTGTTTACTACAGCCTTCACTGTCATTGTTACTAGGTATGCTTCGTTCGTCCCCCCGTAACTCTTGAGGTATTGGATGGCACTAGGCAACTTCTATCACTATTACTCCGATCTCCACGATTTGTGACCCTCAGCCCACCCCCAACGCAACACTTTGAAATTTGATGTAGTTGCCATCCGATTCAATTTTCCCATCATCTTTCTCGCGAAGCAGGCAGTCAGTCACTGCCGCCTTCCTTCCCCCTTGCGCCTGCGCCTGCCTGCCTGGGTTGCTCTTCACTATTGTCCCGTCCGCCCATCTGCCTGCCTACCTACTTCCGGCACCTTACCCTTCCTCGCCTTTCCGTCTCACCACCTCCCACCCTGCCTTACCTTACCTTGCCTTACCTCGAACATCCTCCGCACTTCTCGGTATTACGTCCAAAGCCTAGCACATTGTCCCAATTTCGCAATTGATGGCAGTCAATATGCGACTCATCGGCTTGTGAGCACTTCTCTCTATTTCTTTCACTGGCTATTCTTTGGTGAGAAGCTCCGGGAGATACTCCTGGAAGGGTCGCTTTTACACCTCTGCAGGTCTTTTTAGGCCAAGCGATTTCCAGTAAGTTTTTTTCCATTTGACCCTTTCATCACACTTCTCCCTTACTACCGGTTGTACCCTACGGTGTACATTCATTGCTTGGCTAACTTTCTTTCCAGAAAAGGCGGCCGCTGCTGGTTACTTTTTTGTATTGAAGCGGCACAACTCGACTTCCGAGTATCACTTTCGCGTGTTTGCATTGGTACACCACTACTCCTCATCATGGCACGCCACAAATTCAATGCCGATCTGGCTCAGGCATCCCGCGAACAGGTTGAGCATATCTCGGGTCTCCAGAAAGGAGATGATGACGGCGAACTCACCTTCGTTCTTTCCCATGATGCTCTGCCATCTCCTCTCAACGTTTGCCTTACAGCCCTGAACGTAGACGATTATCCATATGGCCTTGGCTTTGTGGCATACACCAAGGAGGAATCTGTCTCGAGTGCGGTTTCCAAGGTCCTTGACGATATTCCCAACCTCAGTCGGGGCAAAACCATACTCCACACGCTGGTAATGATCTCAATGAAGCTGAGCTCAGGCCTCAACTCGACAAACATCGACGAAGGCTCAGATGTGGAAATGACGCATATTGAAGACGACGAACACTACGGCAACCACG